TTTTTTTTTTTTTTTTTTTTTTTTTTTTTTTTTTTTTCCCTATTCCTTCTTGTCTTCTCTTTTGCTTTTCCTTTTTTTTTTGTGCTATTTTTTTTTCCAATGGCTTTTTGTTTTACTTTTTCCCCTTAGTGATTTTTGTACTTTTTTGTTTTTTTAATACAGAGAAATGGACCCCGCAGTCGATCATGCACCATGGGAAAACCCAACTCCGTGTTGCCAGTCGCGTTGCGACCTGTCTGGTTTTCGGCGGGCGCCCTCTCTGCAGAGCTGGGCAGTCCTCTCCTCCCTCTCCTCCCTCTCCTCCCTCTCCTTTCTCCGCTTGTCTCTTACCGTCCATTACACTGCCCCTTGCGTCTTTTTCCTGAAAAACTCAGAATATTCAAGCAACAGCTTTCCCTCTGCGGGCCTCGCTCCACTTCTCTCCACACGCACAAAAGACAAAATATGGCGGTGCATCTTTCCATGTTCTAGTGCAAGATTCAGTCTCATTTTGCACATTTGGAGAGTGTGGAGCTCAGCCACTTGATCGTCTACTTCTCCCAATTTCTCGCTAATACCTCCTCTCCCAATTTCTCTCTAGCAGTATGTCCTCCCAAGTTGTCTCCCAAATTCTCTCTCCGACGGGATGCTTCCTGCCTTCTTCCCATTTCGTCACTCTCGTTCGATCCCCCGTCTCTCTCTATGGGCCTCGCTCCACCACTCTCCAAATGTGCAAAATGAGACTGAATCTTGCACTAGAACATGGAAAGATGCACCGGTCTAATAAAGTGATTCTCTTGGTTAAAAAAAAAAAAAAAAAAAAAAAGATGCACCGCAATATTTTCTTTTGTGCGTGTGGAGAGTCGTGGAGTGAGGCCCTCTCTCTGCCGCTTTCTCTGGCGCCTCTCTCTCTCTCTCTCTCTCTCTGTTCTGTCACTCCCATGCTCCCCTTTTCTCCCTTCGTCTCATTTTCCTGAAAAGAATGTCGCAGTGACCTTTTTGTCTACCTCCCTCTCTCCCTCTCTCCCTCTCTCCCTCTCTCCCTCTCTCCCTTCTCTGTCTCCCTATCTATCTCCGTGTCAGCCTTTCTCCTCTCGCCAGCTCGAAGATGGATTGCTTGTCTTCTCTGGAAGGGCTTGTTGTTCGATTAGCTGTGAAGGATTGTTAAGGGAGAGAGAGAGAGACGGAGAGGGGGAGAGAAAGAGAGGTGTGAAGATTAATGCACAAGACCTTCAGGCGCGGCAGTTGTTCGATTAGTTGTGAGGGATTGTTACTAAGGTTTCTCGTTGGTCCAATACTTGAGAAGCGCTTGCGAAACAGTTCCAATTCCTCGTTGTGACGTCAACGAATATTTGTATGTAAGTCTCCCCGGATCTTTGATTCACACGCGCAAGTTCTTCTTATCCATCCATCCTACTCTTTTTTTTTTTTTTTTTCCGAACTTGCTCCATCCTATGTTAGCCGGGCCCCCACCGGCGGCCCCAACCCTGCACCCTAAAATGCTAGGGCAAGGGGCAAACATGCCCTTACCCCTCTCCAACGACCGAGAGAGGTAACCTC